CCCGAGCTTCTCTTTAGAAAGCAGGCGGCGGCCTTGCGCCTGATTCCGCCTCCCCCCCCCCCCCGCTCCTCCCCTAAAAACAAAACAAAACAAAACAAAAATCGTTAAGTGGCTGTTCTAACTCTATGTTGTGTGACTGTCCCCCAACCAGAGAAAACACGAACAATCCGACTTCACTTGGAGTCTTTCTACCCCAGGAGATCAGGCAGTGACAGATTTCTGAGGAGGAAGCGTGGCCTCCCAAGTGTTTTCCTCCGCAAAAGTCCCTTCAAATGTAGGTAGGAGGAGGACCTGACCCGTGAGATTTGGAATCTGCCCTTGGTTTGATTTCATGAATTCCTTCTACATTCTCCACTAGTTCTGAGCCTGAGCCAGGTATCTGTGTGGCAGATATTGAGGGAGACAGGGCCTCAGACCACAAAGTAAGTCAAATTGAGCATGGTTAAGGCTCAAAACTAAGTGGGCCTATTTTCTTGGCAAAAGGCTCTGGGACCTGTAGTTTCCAGTTGTGGTTTTCAGGCCCAAGGCTACCAGAGGTCAAGAGATGCCAACAGTTCAAATGTCCTGAACTGACTTGTTGAAAGTGCGAAGTCATGACTTTTAAAGTTAGCACTTGAGGCTGATAGCTCCTCTGACAGCTGCGATTGAAACTTCCCTTATTTCTGGCTGGCTAGATACAATTTTGACAAAAAGTGTGGCAATAAACAGTTGAGATGGTGGAATGACAAGTCTTCAATCGAGGGCCTTTGTTTTTAATGGATTGATGACTATATGTCATTACTGGATGATGTGAAAAGCATTATCAAGGAAAATTAACTCTGTATTTACATTTTTCTACCCTTCACTAATATGTCCCCATTATCTTTGGGGCATTTTAGTTAAAATTTTTAGTTGCTTATTGTTCCTTATCACTTTTTTAAAAAAGTATTTGTAGAAAGTATCTTATTTCATAAACTATTTTGTTTCCAATTTTAAACTTGAAAGTTCTGTGTTTATTTACTTGGGGTTATAGTAAAACTCCCACCTACAAAGTATGACAAATTTAAAGAAAGTAGTCTTTGGTACATTTTAGTCAATAGAGTTCCTTGAAGTAGTCATATTTTTTTTGTTGTTGTTTTTGTTGGCTATTAACAATGTGGGTATCTAAGCTGTTGAAAATGTTATTGGATTCATTATGCCTGGACAAAGAGAATAACCAGTTTTCTTACAGGGAGCTGAACACTGCAGTGTATTTTTGCAGCATTCTTCTTTTAATAAGTACATAGAGTTTGTTGTCTTCTCCAATCTTTATTTTGTGTTCTTTTAAACCCATGTCATAATAGTAAGTTTTGAAAACTTCTTAACTGAAAAAAAATTCAAATTTTATTTAACTGTTGTTAAACTTTAATTGCTTAAATTGAGTTTCAGGTTCAGAGCAGTTGTATAGTAGCATGTCTTTAAAAGTAAAGAGAGATACCAGTTTAAGCCAGTCCATCAAATTTATACTTTTTTGAGGTTTCAGAATCCTCTAACTCTATGAAGTATAGATGATAAGTATTCTTGGATGAAACTTTTACTTCCTTTGTCATTAAAAGCATTTAATTGATTCTGCTTGTGACTTTAGAAGAATAAAACAGAACTTTGAATCTTGAACTAACCTATCTTAGGTATAAATTTCTTTGCAGAGTTCTAATCATTGTTACATGGTAGCATAATTACGTTACAATAAAAAATGCTACTCTGATGTTTAATAAATAGATACTGTATTTTCTACCTCATCTTTATGAGCAAATGTAATTTATCAAATAAAGGAAATAAGATTTTCAAATCATGGGAAAATAAAATTACATAATGATCAATTATTGCCTTTTTTTGCTTACTGCATCATGTTAATAACTGCTCACACTGCTTTCAAATAATCTAATGCTGATTGCTTCTAACCTTTACTAAACAGTTTTAAGGTGGCTGTAGTTTAGCCTGGGATGCTTATGATTAGAGTCAACAATTTGAAATGGCCAACTCACCTGATGCAGTCGTCTCCTCTCCACCTGCTTTCTTAAGGTCTGGTAAGTGTGTGAACCCCAAAAGGGTCACTTGGTAATTTTAAATACATTTGTTTCTGAAAGCTAATGATATAATATGGAATTATTTATGACCATATGATGTCATTATTTTATGCCTCTTTGGTGTGCCCAAGCCTGAACATTATTTCAGCTAGTGTTAGGCTTAGGTTTACATTGTTTTTTTTTGGGTACCGGGGATTGAACTTGGGTCTATTGTGCTTGCAAGGCAGGCCACCGAACCACTAAGCTAAATCCCCAGCCCTACATTGTATTTTGAATGTAGCCCTATTCTGTTTTGCCTCTAGGAGCATAGGCAGTCAGAGTGTGGAGGCTCTGCATTGACCCTTGCAAGCTACATGACAGGGGAGTTCCTTAATGCTGGGGAGCCTCAGTTGACAAATGGATGTATAGTGTAGCTTCTTAAATGATGTTTGTCCTCTTACATGATGGAAGAAACTCATAAATTGGAAATTTTGGGTCACTATCCCATTTACCTATTCTATCAACTCCCTATGAAATAGGTATTGTTTCTTAGACATTTTCATAGACAAGAAGAGATTTGTCTTTTTTCCTGTTCTGTTTCAAAATGCTGTGCTTTGCACTGCATCCCATGGCTTCTTGGTGAATGAGATGCTTGTGCAGCAGCTCTTAGACTGTTGTGCAACATACTCCTGTGAGAGTTGTGTAGAACCTGTGGAATCAGCTTTTCAGAAGAAAGTGCAGCATCTTAAAAACAATTTTGAGATAATTTTTGGCCTCAGAATGACCATATATGGATTTCCATTAGGGACCCAAGCCTTTGGAAGTATTCATTTTACATTTCAGAAGAAAAATCAGGTTTTGTTAATTAACTGCATGGCTGAAATGTGGACTGAAGGGCCCTTTTCTGTAGTTTATGAGTCACCATAGGCCATTATATGTGTAATATGTTAGAATACTCGGGGAGGAGTTTTTCCACAAGAGGCTGCTTTGTCTTTATGGTTCTTAAGTAGAATATTCAATAATGAAGTCCCAGTACTCATAAACAGGTAAATGTGAGTTGAACTCCACAAAATGAAGCCTATGTGCCTTCATGATAGCCATTCAGAATGGTTCCCCCAGTCACTTCCATTTATATAGTTCAAGTCCTAGTTTTGGAAGATAAAGGAGGAAATACTGAATCAATCAAACCTTAGAAATCAAAGCTTATACTTCAGGAACAAAAATGATCCTTGTATTTATTTATCATTTACTAAATGACAAAATATTTTAATATCAATTAATTTTTGATTTGGTTTTCAACTAAAAAAAAGATGACATGTATTTCTTCACTTTTTTAATTATAGACAGCTAAGTTAGATAGAATGAATATACAATCAGAAAGAGACTTGCTTCTCAAGTAAGTCAGCAGAAAAATAAAGACATCAGAATTATTGCTGGAGATGCATCTGTTGGGGGCCAGGCCTCAGGATAAAGATGCAATGACCATACCTACATATCTCCCTAAGGGATAACCAGTAACTTGGAATTACACTATAATTGGTATCACCTGGTCCAGTAAAGTCCAGATAGACAACAGTCACCCAGTTGAGTGACCAGAGCATCTGGATCCATCCCTTCCCAAAAAATACCTTTGTTCTTTCTACGCACCCTTGTTATGGGACCTGCTATTAGATCAATATTAGCTAACTGGCTATACTTGTAATCTTATTTGTTGATTATAGTTTGCCCACATTATACTTACCTTGTGATTTTGTACCTACCTCATGATTTTGCTCTATGAAACATTCTTAGAGAAGTGACCTCAGTGGCAACTCACTTTCGGGTCCCTTCCCGTCTCTCAGGAGCTATCTCTCAAAAAATTTTTTTTTTACTGTTAACCTCCATTGTTCTTTAGAATTCATGCTTCTATTTCAGGTGACACAGACTTGGCATATTTGACATCTAGCAGGTTGAGAGTTATATTTCCCCTGTATCATTTTCATTTTAAGCACCAGACTTGTATTTTCTATCTTGGCTTTCCTTTTAAGAGTATGTTTGTAGCACTAATGGTCATTCAGTAGTAAAGGGAAAATAGAATGCTTAAAAAATAGGCTTTTATGCATCAATAGTCATGAAAATTTCAAAACCAAAGAATTATGCTTGAACATTATATAGAGTGTTTGAAGGCAATATAAAAAGCTTTTTCACTTTTGTCTCATTAAGTTAAATTCAAGTATGCCAAGAAACGAAACAAAAATACCAAAGTGCAGTGTTATGATCCATTTAAAAGACTGATTCTTTATAAATTACTTACATATTTTTGGAGGGATTCCTCAATCCAAAACTTAAGAGTGTCACTGGACTGGTTTTGAGGGTTCCTGAGGCTGAAATAAGGAATTTAACCCACCCCTTTAAAATAAGTGTGTAAGTTTGTTGATTCCTGTGAGGGAAAAAGAGTTTTCAGTAAAAGAAACATAACAAGGATTTATCAGAGGTAGGTAGATAGAGCACACATTCAAGACTGGAGTGCAGATGCTCAAAGAAATGAAGCATGTTATAAGCCAGAGTAGGGCACATTTAAAAACTGTCTTCAAGATGAGTGATCTAGGATGTGTATTCCTACAGTCTGCCAGGTTACAGTACAGGCCATCTGTATGGGTTTGAAATGGAGATATGCATTTGAAGTTAAAACTTGCTGTCTTCAGTGCAGCTGCTTTTTAGAATGGAGGAAAGGGCAAATTTGCAGGTGAAAAGGGTGTTGCCGGGGTGGGATGGGGGGTGGGGGGGTGGAGATGGTCATAAGTCAGGGTGTCCTCTAGAAGCACCAAAAGTGCTTGTTTTGAAGCTGCAGTTTTTCTTTAAAGTACAATTTTAAAATCTCTATTTCCTTTTCTCTTTTCTACGTAATGTCCTCTAGGCACCAAAAGTGCTTGTTTTGAAGCTGCAGTTTTTCTTTAAAGTACAATTTTAAAATCTCTATTTCCTTTTCTCTTTTCTACGTAGTTTTTTCTATTCTGCCTTATTTCCCCTCACTTCCCAAAGACTTTGGTCTCTTATTCTTAAGGGGTTGCAGAAGGCCAATGGTCCTTCTTCAGTAATTGTTTCAGGCTGAGGAGGGGCCTTCATCTTACCTAGCCAGAGACTGAAAGTCTTGACCTGAGTGATGTAAAGGAGATATAGGAATATCAGGTTCCATCTTTTGTACAACCATCATCTTTTGATAGTCAGCAAAGAAAGGCAAGAAAATACAATGAATCATACAACAGACAAG